CTCCCGGCACATGCACCGTCTGCAGGGTAAGGTTTACAAAAGGCAGACGCACTGGAAAATAAATGCTTGATATGCTTGATATGCACACAGTTAGTGTCAGTCTCTCTCTCTCTCTCTCTCTCTCTCTCTCTCTCTCTCTCTCTCTCTCTCTCTCTCTCTCTCTCTCTCTCTCTCTCTCTCTCTCTCTCTCTCTCTCTCTCTCTCGCTTTATCACTCCCTCTCCCTCTTTCCCTCTCCCCTCTGCCATCTCTCTCTACCACTCCTCTCCCATCTCACCCTCTCCTCCTCCTCCTCCTCCTCCACCCTCGCCCTCCTTCCCTCTCCCTCTCTTTGTCCCTCTCTCTATCATACACTTCCGTACACGAATTGTCATTCCTTTCGTCTGATCCCCAGAGAGGCAAGATCAAGAACAAGGCCTCGTGCTGCACCTGGATCACGTGCCTGGTGCTGCTCCCCTTCGGCATCATTCCTGGCATCATCGCCTTCTGCTGCTGCTGCCGGGAACCCAAGTGCACCCACTGCGGCTACACGCCCTAGTCCGCCCTAGTCGCCTCTCCCCTCCCCTCCCCTCGCAGTCGCAGTCGCAGTTTCGAAAGGCTTTCCACGTCGACGTTTCCCCCTCAAGGCTAGAATGAAGTCGAAGTCTGGGCCAGGCCGGAAGTGAAAGTCATGGCGGTTGAGATAAAACTTCGACGCTCCTTTACTTTTTTTTATTTTAGGTGATGCACTCTTTGTTATTTTTTTTTTTTTTTTAAGAAATACTTTAACATAAATAACAATAATTCGTTGTTTCATCCTCTCGCCAATATTGGGAGGATGGCATTGGCAGACAAATTCAAGGTTGATAAAGTAGAATTGTACTTTTATACAGCTAGATTCTTTTATTATTTTACGAAAGCAAATGTCTCTTTTTCTTTGTGGTGTTGATTTCGTGGGCGATTCGTTGAGGTTTTTTATTTGTGGGAAAACGTAAGCCATTTTGGTGCTGAAATATGTCAAGGTTGAATTTGAGAATACAAAGGTTATTGAAAGTTTGTGAATGCTCTGTGTTGTGTATAGTCAATTCTTCTACAAATCATATCGAAATAATGCTTTATTTCTGTTGTATATGATCTTAGGATTCTCTTATCGGTTTGAACTATTAATCCCTTTTCGGAATTATTGCACGACCTGTAGTATGAGTGTGTATGTCCTTTATTTTGAATACTTTTATACGTGTATAGTTTACGGACAAGTACTAGTGTATTTGCAACACCAGGCGTAATTTTTGGCTTGATATAAACTGTAATCTGAATTAGATCTCTTGTACTCTTCAGCATTTTACACGCCATGTTACTTTCCAAAATATTTGTAAGAGCATCGTTTATATTACAAGAAATTTCATTTTATTAAAAGATCTTACAGTTACCACTCTCTTTTCTGTACCCCCATTTCTATTTCTATTTCGTGTGTGTGTGTGTGTGTTATTGTTTGTGTTTGTGTCACACACACACACACATACATGTATGTTTTATATATATGTATTTATGTGTATGTATATTTATTTATTTATTTGTTTATTTATTTGTTTGTCTGTTTGTTTATTTATTTATACATATATACAATATGGTGTTTAGAGCATGGCACCAATATTTGTTATTTGAATCTGGCATTTAATATCTAACCCTAAAGGTCAATACCAGGAGAATATGACAAAATATAGGAAAGGCCAAGAGGTTTGTCACTTTCGGTTATCAGCCTCATTTCTCACACAATTTATCTCTCGTTGTTTTGTTCATCATATAACTGTTCTTTTCATGTGACAGCTACACAAGACCAGCTGACTCTTACCCTTTTCATATTAAACCTTTACACCTTATTAAGTAGCTTTCCTTTGGATATCTGATTCTTATAAGTATCTACAGTTATTTAGAATGATTCGTGAACAATTCTGTACCATTAGCATTGACCTAACCAACATAGACAACAAACCTCATGATTCGTGAACAATTCTGTACCATTTGCATTGACCCAACCAAACATAAACAAACCTCGTGATTCGTGAACAATTCTGTACCATTAGCATTGACCCAACCAACATGACAAACCTCGTGATTCGTGAACAATTCTGTACCATTAGCATTGACCCAACCAACATAGCGATTCGTGAACAATTCTGTACCATTAGCATTGACCTAACCAACATGGACAACAAACCTCATGATTCGTGAGCAATTCTGTACCATTAGCATTGACCTAACCAACATAGACAACAAACTGCATGATTCGTGAACAATTCTGTACCATTAACATTGACCCAACCAACATAGACAACAAACCTCATGATTCGTGAACAATTCTGTTCCATTTGCATTGACCTAACCAAACATAAACAAACCTCATGATTCGTGAACAATTCTGTACCATTAGCATTGACCCAACCAACATGGACCACAAACCTCATGATTCGTGAACAATTCTGTACCATTTGCATTGACCTAACCAACATGGACAACAAACCTCGTGATTCGTGAACAATTCTGTACCATTAGCATTGACCCAACCAACATAGACAACAAACCTCATGATTCGTGAACAATTCTGTACCATTCGCATTGACCCAACCAACATAGACCACAAACCTCATGATTCGTGAACAATTCTGTACCATTAGCATTGACTGAACATGGACAACAAACCTCATGATTCGTGAACAATTACGTACCATTAGCATTGACCCAACCAACAGACCACAAACCTCATGATTCGTGAACAATTCTGTACCATTTGCATTGACCCAACAAACATGGACAACAAACCTCATGATTCGTGAACAATTCTGTACCATTAGCATTGACCCAACCAACATAGACAACAAACCTCATAATTCGTGAACAATTCTGTACCATTAGCATTGACCTAACCAACATAGACAACAAACCTCGTGATTCGTGAACAATTCTGTACCATTAGCATTGACCTAACCAACATAGACAACAAACCTCATGATTCGTGAACAATTCTGTACCATTAGCATTGACCCAACCAACATAGACCACAAACCTCATGATTCGTGAACAATTCTGTACCATTTGCATTGACCTAACATGGACAACAAACCCCAGAGACGACATGGAAATAAAAAAGAGACGCAGGTATAACACACCTCGATAACTGCTTGTTCCTTTGTTCCACGCGGTTCCGTAGAAGGTGTCGGCGCGAAGAGAGAATCGATGGCGGGATGACCTTGGTACGAATTTTAGCGTTTTGCGTCTTAATAGCCAAGGCAATAACGCACCGCCACGTGATCAATAATCCACAGGGTTCAGTGTGCTAGAATTTGGATTTGGCGCACGTAGATATGGATGCAATATGAATGCATTTATACGCGATATATATATATATATATATATATATATATATATATATATATATATATATATATATATATATCTGTGTGTGTGTGTGTGTGTGGTGTGTGTGTGTGTTGTGTGTGTGTGTGTGTGTGTGTGTGTGTGTGTGTGTGTGTCTGTGTACGCACTAATATAGAAGGATAGATATACAGATAGCAAAATGTATGTATACACACACACAATACCCTATGCATTTTCATGTCATTAATGTCATGCATATTAAACTGCTACCTATTTCTGCATCTGCGAGCATACAAAACAGGTGAAACTTAGACACCCGTTGCCGTCGCATCTTTGGCATGCATGTCGCTAAACAGCCCGAAGAAACTAGTCCAGTAATAAACATATTTCTAACTTTAGAGGACTTCTGTGGGACTTCTCGCACACCCACGGCAGACGGAGCACGGGGTATCAGCGGGGCCGTTTCAACAACCCTGGCTTTGTCTTCAGGAACTAGTTACGTGCTGTAAGAGGCGGTTGATGATGCCTGCTATGTTTTACTGATCGGACAGTATGTGCGGCATGACTCCTGGTTGTTGAGAGACTGCAACACATGGAAATGAACACGGTACGATAGGTTGTGAGCAAGGCGCTTGTCTTGACGGTACGGGGACAAGGTGCAATATAGGTCAGATAAGGTTGACTTCCTTCATTGTCATGTGGGTGCTAGGGGCGCTGGTTTTAGAACCCATGTGGTGCCTGACTTAGCTTGGGGTGGTATGGCTGGCATTTCATACTTACATGCTTATTGACCCGCCATATTGGATTATTAAGCATATAAGCTTAAAAGGCCAGCCGTGCAAGCTGTTCACTGATTTCACAACGTGTTGAGAGGAGGTAAATTCCAGCTGGTATTGGGATGCGTGGGTGAATTATAGTTTATCTGATTCTGTGCTGTGGCCGTTGCATCTCCATTCCCACGAGTGACTAAAGGTTCATCCTAATGCACTGTCACCCAAGTACTTATATAGACTTTGTTGCCACCGATGGTTGCCTCAGACTCATTACTGCAGTAGATCATTGCAGGAATTTTGACATAAGGGAAATATCCTTGATGCCACGAACAGCTGGTTTTCATAAATGGATCATTATGCTAGTCTATAAAAAGTGTCTCATGAAATGAAACGCTTCTGTGCTTGGATTGATGTTTCACTGTATTATGGGAGTACATGTAACCTCACGATTGTTACATGGGGCGCTGTAATTCAAGCGGTAACTTAAAACATGAAGCAATAACTTCATACATTGCTATCCTGATCACATCCTTTTGTTAGACCTGTACCTGTACGCCGTGACCCGAATGTGATTCCCCAAAGAGACACGATTCTGTGTTGATTTGTAGACATCAGTGACATCTACAAGGGATCGTAAATTGTACATTATTTAGTACATTAACTGCGGTTCGCTGAGAGGGCGCCTCCATCGACCACAGGTACGACCTTTCCTTGTTCCACGCGCGGACGGAGGGAGAAAGTGCGATGCGCACACAGGGACAGGGAGGAACACCACACACGGGGAGCGAGGACAGAATGCAGCGTAAAAGAGGTGGATCTAGATCACTGTAAGATTCCTAAGATTCTGCCAGGGAGGAACACCACACAAGGGGAGCGAGGACAGAATGCAGCGTGAAAGATGTGGATCTAGATCACTGTAAGATTCCTAAGAAGATTCTGTCTATAAATTTCGATACGGGAGTAATTCGGCGACTGGGATATGATATCATTTTCACTGAACCGTATTCATAACAACAAATGTAAAACAGGTATGAATTATGTATTCATGACGACGATATATTGGAAACCGGTTGAATACACCTCTTGTACTGTCAAGATGGTCATCCTCATTCGTATTTTTTTCCCCTACAATCCATTTCCTTTGTAAATAAGTGTTTCAAGTATTATGCGATTTTTCAAGAGGATATTTTATTCCTTGCTGATAGCATTGTTTCCGCGGTCCATTTGATGATAAGCGTATGTCAATGTGGGGGTATGTCACTGATAAAATGCAAACTCATGACTCTCCCATCAGTCTTATCTGCCATCTACGTCGAGAATCCAAGAATCATCAATATTCTCTTTTGGGTACGTTGATATTGATGCTTTGAAGAGGTAACGACCAATGGGCGGCCCTCAACTAATCTTCTTTGGGAAACCTTTTATCATATCCTGGTTGAAAATCACTCTCTGAGTCACTTTCTAGAATAGTATCCCTGTTTTGCGTTAGTTTGAAAAAAAAAAAATGGTCAAGCTTTTATATATTAAACATCCTGCTCTTAAATATAACCCTGATATAGTTCGTCAAGCAGTCCTCTTCAGTCTTCATCAACCGCAAAACTATGAAAACAAAAAACATTTCTTAGTCATTACGATGTTTAGATTAACATATTAATGCACAATGCAAAGCCAGTAGGTAAAAAAAAGGTAAGGTGAATTAACAGAGAAACGAATTTTAAAAATATATCCGAGGACAAACCTTTTCATTTCATTTCGTGTCGTCCTTCGGTAAAGCTGCAACAGGAACAACGAAGGGAAGAACGAGAAAACACGAGAATATGCCGTCATATTCGCGTGTTTTCTTGTTCTTTCCTTTGTTGTCCACTTATCTATGTTATTTACAGAAAAAGATAGTAAAATCAATTAAATTGATAACGCTATTATGAGTATTAGATGAGATCAGTTTTTTTTACATCTTTACATCTTATTATGAGACGTACCCAATGTTTCATAAAATTGATTTAATCGTGGATGTATATATGACACCGAGACGCTAGCATTTTCTCTGCAATTAGCACATTTGAAGAATAGAGTTCTTGTTAATTTTAGCGCCCAGAAATTAAAGAATGACAGGAAAGCATGCCAAGAGAACAGCTTTTTAAAAATGACAAGCAGCGGCTACATATCCAACGGTTGGACGACCAGCAGCCTCGTCCTGCAACCCTTTCACATTTGTCGTGCTATTTCGTTGTTAGTGTCGACAGTGCTAAGATAGATAAAAATGAATGAAATATAATAAAAT